ATTTGGGGTGGTAATTATGCTAATCTCCTCTCGCGTGCACAAGCAGCTGGATACGAACAGGTGTAATTTACGCAGCTCATTTACGCACGTTTCCTGAAGGTAGAAGTGTTTGTTGAATCTGACGTGACATGTTCGTACGAACCCTTTGTACGAACAAAAGTAAGAGAAACTTAGGATAAAAATACGAACATGTTCTTGCATGAGGCCCAATGAATTGGCATTTGAGAGTTAAAGTACCAAGTTGAGGTTGAATTGACTTGCACTTGAATTGACTGGATCAAATTCTTGTGGGGGTCATAGCCTTTTCAACTTTTGTTTAAATAGGCTCCATAAGGACACTTCAGCATTAATCCAGCCTGCCATTCCTGCAGAGCTACAGATGTAGTTTAATGCACTGAGACACACTGTAAGCATTACGAATTAGATTCTGACAAGTTGCTCCTCAGAAAGCATCATTTAGGTTTAGAAGTAATGCAAACGCATTACTGCCATTTGAAATGAGCAGCTCAGGACAGAAACAGTTGGCACTTAATGAGCATGTGAACAGCAGCAGGAGGGACAAACATGATGAACAGTTTAGTGCAAATGAAAGTGCAGAACCTCTGGCTACAGTATGTGGTTAGATTTATTTCCTTGCCACAAGTTCTTACAAGTAAGTGGGTGGTATTACCTAACATATCAGACATATGTCAGCAGGAAAATAAAATCAAACAGAAACTGTAGAAAACAATGGTAGGGCTGGAAAAACACAGAATTCAGATTCAGAATCCACACTATTGTCTTCCTGTTCCTCTCTCTCTCTCTCTCTCTCTCTCTCTCTCTCTCTCTCTCTCTCTCTCTCTCTTTAGAATTTCACAAGTTTTTGCAATCAAACAACTCCTACTTTGTGCTGTATTTTACATCAAAATATTCAGTTCAGTCTACAGGGGATGGAAATTATGACTTTTGGTTTTTGTTAATTATACCTTGATTTATAAATATTTTACCTATATAAATACACAGCTCCCTTTAAGACATTCAAACCTCTGTCCTGTTTTAAGTATTTGTTTCCATCTTCTTGAGCTACTTTTAGTTTATTTTAGTTTATTTTGTTTTAGTTTAGTTTGGTTTACTTTTGGTGATTTAACTTTTAGCTAGCCTTTTGCTACTTTTAGCTTCTAGCTAGCCGTTTTTATAATTTGCACAATAGCTTTTTGCTACATTTGGCATTTAGCTGATCTTTTGTCACATTTAACAACCCCTACACCAGGGCTATTCAACTAAATTGCTCCGGGGGCCACAGTCACTGCAGGCAAACTGCTCAGGGGGCCAAACATCCAGCAATTAGACTTTATGCAAATAAGCCAAGTACTACAAACATCTGTTACCTCTGAAATAGTTTATTTTACTGTATTTAATCATGAACACAACATACAGAGCCGTATAAAAGTAGTTATAATTAAACAATATCAAAAACAAAAAGAACAATTATGCCTAATATTTAACACAAATATTATTTTGACATCTCTGACTTGCCAATTTTTTAACCAATATTACTTTCACTTTCATAGTTATGTCTTCAACTGCTTGTAGTTTTAGATTTAGCCAACATATTAGCCAAAGAGAAGAGCTTAGGGTAATTAAAGTAGAAAACCAGGGGTGTGGGCTTAAGAGATGAATGAACCAATTAGTGGGCCCAACTTTGGTCACACACTTGGGTCACAACTGGATGTGGCCAGCGGACCGCCAGTTGAATAGCCATGCCCTTTACTAATTTAGTTTTTAGCTAGACTCTTGCTGCATGAGCTAGGTTTTTGTTAAGCTAAGCTGCTTTTAGCCAACATTTTTCTAATTTCAGTGTTTGGCTAACCTTTTGCCAATTTACCTAGCATTTTGCTACAGTTGGCTTTTAGCTAGCACTTTGCTTCTTTTAAGTTTTAGCTTTTGATTTGTTCCTTTTATATTTTAGTTAGCCTTGTGTTTAGCTTTTCTTTAGCTTTTAATTAGTATTAACTAGTTTGGGCTTTAACAACTCAGTTTTGGCTTTTCCAGCTCATTTAGCAGTTATTCAGCACTCAGCATTCACACTACTTTGTGAGGAAAACATAACGCTCTGGCAAAACATGCCAAAATAATGAAAAAGAAAAAACAACAACAAAAACAAAGTTTAAATTAAAATAATGAAGAACGTTAACAGGAGTAATCAAACCACCAACACACTGCTTTCTGTTCTGTTCCCAATTAAACTGTTCCTTTCAGAGTCCAAAGCCTCAAGACACAATTAGGACCACACTTGGTGCTGTGGGGGTCCCAGTTCACACTAACCCACCTCTGAGCTCCATCACCCAGGGAACAAAGATAAATAGTAACAATGGTAAGAC